CCACCTCTGTTTACTACAAGTTACTTTAAAGGTCGCCTATCATGCTATTTTTAGGCAATAGTATCAGATATATAAAAAATATATAAAAAACATGTCTATGAAGTGTTTTGCTCCAAATACCAAACAGATCACCCATTCTAGCCATGCCTCATATCCCTCTATTTCACTTCCTGTTTCAAAAGTGCTGATTTGGGTATAAAGCTTTAGGAGGGGTCTGAGCTCATGCGGGACCCGGCAGCTACTGTCTAAACTAAATNCTCGAACCCTGCTCATATCCCTCCATTTCACTTCTTGTTTCAAAAGTGCTGATTTTGGGTATAAAGCTTTAAAAAATGTATAAACAATTTAAAAGTAGGGGTCTGAGCTCATGCGGGACCCGGCAGCTACTGTCTAAACTAAATACTGCCGTGATGAAACGCCATATCATGGATTATCAAGGATTCTCTCTGAAACAGTATGGAGCTCAAAGGCCTTCTCTCTTGCCGGTTATACCACAAGGTGAGTTCCTTTTTACTTCCTGCTTCTTCACACACATGCTCTCCAGTACAGGTTAGCTCTGAGTGTTAGCGATGCTAATGTAAACACCGACCATATTACGTCCAAAACAGTCGGGCATTGTTTCTGATAGCAACGTTTCTGATAGGGCCGTGGGTCCACATTTCAGATATTACGTCATATCGGATGCAAATCAGGATCAGCTCCGTTGTTACCCCGTTTTTAGAGATTTGGGTACGGAGGAAAAGAGAGAGCATGATCCCCTTTAACTTTAAGCTCCTGGTCACTAACGTGTGGACATTGACTGTTTTAGTTGTTCAGAAAACGTTCTCCCTGATCTCAGACCTGATGGATGCGCTCCTTCTTCTCTACGATGTCTTCCTGTTGAGGCTCCGTCTGGCTCTTCATCTCGCTGAGCTGGAAATCCAGAACGAACTTCAGCTTCTCCAGCTCCTGGTTCTTCCTCTTCAGGCTGCAGATGGTCTTATCCTGTCAGGGAGGAGGTGGAGGAAAGTATGTTGACTCACTGTTTTTAAGACTGTATGATGATCTACATAAAACATACATAACCTTCAGACTGGGACAAACATGTTAAGACATTCCTAATATGTAAAGCATGATGCATCATTTTCTATAAATACTGAACATCGGTAATACAGGGGTTGTATCGTTTAAGGAAATTAGATTTAGGATTTGTTTTTAAACTCAATATTCTGCGCTCAGTCGCTATCCGGGCTTTTAGCATTTATCAAATAAAAAAGGTATTACTCACTATTTTGAGTTTCACAATGCTACTTAAAGGTGGGGTAGGTAATTCACTTCAGAAGCAGTTTTTGTTATATTCCATGGAATGCTCTTAAGCAATAGCAATGAATATCTGAAGTGCTTTGACAATAAATACATAACAAAATCTCATCTGTGGAAGCCGTGGCGCTGTAAAAAGC